CTTCAACATAGGGCGTTATCTGGGAAGCGGTCGAAAATGTGATCCGAACCGAACCATATTCAATATGGTTCGTTCTAGGTTTAAAGCAAGTCAGAACACCATCCTAAATACCCTACACCGCTCTATAATCGAATCTTCAACATAGGGCGTGTTATCTGGGAAGCGGTCGAAAATGTGATCCGAACCAAACCATATTCAATATCGTTCATTGTAGGTTCATTCATAGTAGTAAAACTACTCAGAACACCACAAATTTCATTGAAAATTGCGAACTGTAGCTTGAACACAAACATACATCGACACGCATCAGACGGGCAAAGGAGCTTAGAATCAGAATAATTTTCTGAATCGATTGCTATAACAAAAGGTGGATCTAACTTAAGTCCTTCTGGGTGTTCCATACATCCGCACAAGCTTAATATACCCTTGCACCACAAGCGATTCTATATATATATATATATATAGAATCGCTATACAAGTAAACATGCAGTGAACATTGAAATTACTCTGAGATGAAACGTGTTACGTGTTATCAGCTACTAATACGTAAAATATTTTTTTTTCATATGAATTTTTATACAATTGTAACGTTTGCAATTTGAAATAAATTGCTTTGCCATTCAATTACCATTAAACTTTTATGTAAATTTCTTTGAGTATCTTTTTGATTACTTTATTTTTTTATTAAATTAAATAATCAACAGCAAAAAGAAATTATGAACAATGTTCATTCGCAACAACGAAATTATAGTAGCATTTTCTTGTTACATCTTGCGCCACTTGTGATACAAGGGCGTATTACGCTTATGTGGATATGTGCAACACCATGAAGACTTTAAGATAGAATCACTTTTTATTATATCCTTGCCTATCCGTCTGTCTGGTTATCGTTTGTGGTCGATCTACCAGCCACAATTTATGCAATATTTTGCAAAAATATTGGCCCAAGAACGAAAGCTAATGACAATGATTCTCGGATCTCAGCACTTTTTTGAACGCCTCCCAAAACGCTTACTGTCCATTAGCCTGTTTAAAAACGAATATCTTACTAAACTAGACTACGTGATTGCTGTTTATAAAATCAGGGCCTAAGCTGGAAGAAAGTTAAATTGAATTTCGAGAATAAACTGCGAGAGATGAATGAACGAGTGGGCAAAGTAGCTAAATGTGCGAAAGCGTTAAGCAATTGTGCATAATTCAACTATTTAATCGATGTAATTTATATGATATAAAGTTAGTATTTGCCATAATCAACGGCTTCGTACATTTTCGTTGCTTGTAACATATTATCTAAATTTATCTCCCGCTTCTTTGATGTAGTGGCAATCGCCTTTTACATTCGAGCAATAAATTTTCCCTCTTTACACATCTAACCTATGGAAAACAATTGAATGCTTATAAGCCTAACTCAACTTTTTTCGTATAAATTTATTTATTTTAACATCAAGGAAATTTATATATGTAATGTTGTATGTAATATTATTTAAATGAACATTTATGTATTTCTTTTTTTTTTCTTTTTTTTACGCAACACTGATAATAAATTCACTTCAAGTCTAAAAGTCAATACTTCCAACAAAGGAAATTAACACAGATTCTCACCTTATCAAAAAGAAATCTTTATTTCATAACAAGCATGAACGTTAATAGAATTGATTAAATCAATAATTAATGCTGCAATGAACTGAA